CAGACACATCAACACAGACACACATCACCAAACAGCCCACACACACCAACCCCAGACACATCACCAAAAAGGGACAAAATTTCACCAAAAAACCGAAAAAATCACCAACAACACACCCCAAAACACAGCCCACACACACCAACAACTCACATCAAAAACACAGACACATCACCAACACCAAAAAATCCCAACAGACACACATCCCCAAACCACGGCCCACATAAAAACCAACACAGACAAAATAAACCAACCCCAAAACCCCAACAACACTCACCCCCCCCCAACAGGCCACAAAACCCCAAACAAAACACACATAAACCAACACAACACATCACCAACCCAGACACACATCACCAACACACCCCATCCCCAAAACCCCAGACACACATCACCAACACACACACACCCCCAACACACACACATCAAAAACCACACACTCACATCACCAACCCCACACAACATCCCAACAAGGCAAAACCACCAACACCCCACAATCCCCCCATCACCAAAACACACAATCACAACCCCCAACACAGAAAACACATCACCAACAGACCCCACATCCCCAACACAGACACAAAACCCAAAAAAACACACATCCCCAACCCCACACATCACTTCACCAAAGACCCCACATCCCCCAACACCACAACCCACTGGCACGGGCAAGAAACCTAAAGTCAGTTCCGGATCACCCGGGGCTGTGGTTTCGTACGTTGGTTTCGGGGGCACCCAGCAGCAAAAGTCCTGGTTATCGGGGCTCGATCCCCCCCAGGAGCCTGGTCTGGGGCCCGGGCCCGCGGGGGCGTTGCCCCCCGGGAAAACTCTCTCCGGGAAAAACCCAGGAAACAACCCCAAAAAACAGACCACTTTCCCCAACAGACACACATCCCCAAAACCAGACCATCACCAACACAGACACACGTCCCCAAACACAACCCCCCAAAAAACCCTCCCAACACAGACCCCCCCCCCCCCCCCCACCCCCCCCCCCCCCCATCCCCAAAAACAGACACACATCCCCAAAACCCCAGCCCACATCAAAAAACCACAGCCCAACGAAAACCAACAGACACCTTCCCCCAAACACAACACACGTCCCCAAAAACCACACACACATCCCCAACACAGACACATCACCAACACAGCACACATCCCCAAAACAGAAAACCAATCACCAACACAGAACTTCACCAACACAGACACAAAACACCAACAGACACAAATCCCCAAACACAGACACACGTCAAAAACACGGGACACACGTCACCAACCCACACACCAAAACCCCCAAACACAGACACACTTCCCCAACACGACACACGCCCAACAACAAACTTTCCCCAAACACAGACACACATAAAACCAACACAACCACATCCCCCAAACAACACAACCCCCAACAGCCAAACATCCCAACACACACAAAACACCAACCAGCACACATCACCCAACGCAACATCACCAAAACAAAAACACATCCCCAAAACACAGACCCCAGCACCAACACAGACCAATCCCCAACAACACCCCAACCCCAACACAGAAACATCACCAAAACGGGCCCACACGTCACCAACAGACCCCAAACACCAAAAACACAGTCACACGTCACCAACAGACCCCAAAACCAACACAGACACATCACCAACACAGACACAAAACCCCACCAAACAGACACACTTTCACCAACACAGACACACACCAACACAGCCCACATTTCACCAACAGCCCCACACATCACCAACACAGACACCGTCAACCAACAACACACATAAACCAACACAACACATCCCCAAAACACAAACCACTTTCACCAAACAGACACACGTCACCAACAAAACACACAACACCAACCCCAGACACATCCCCAACACAGACACACATCACCAACAGACCCCACATCACCAACACAGACACATCCCCCAACACAGACACACTCCCCAAACCCCCCCCCCTGGGCCCACACATCCCCAAACACAGACACACCGTCACCAACAACCCCAATCCCCAAACACAAAACCCATCACCAACACAGACACACATCACCAACAGCCCACAAAATCCCCAAAACACAGACACATCACCAACCCCAGAACCACGTCACCACAGACCCCACATCCCCAAACACGACACACGCCCAACCAACAACACACATCCCCAAACCCACAGACACATAAACCAACACGGGGAAACATCCCCAAACACACACACATCCCCAACCAGACACACATCCCCAAACCCACGACACACTTTCCCCCAAAAACACAGACCCCACTTCCCCAAACACAGACAACATAAAAAAACACAGACCCCCTCACCAACAAAGACAACTCACCAACACGGGGACACATACCAAAAACAGACACACCCCCAAAAGGGATGTTTTAAACTGGGGCCCCATGGTTACGGGTGTTTATATAACCCCTGCGGAAATTAGCGCTCCTTATAAAATAAAAAAAAATTTCGGTTTTTCACTTTACCACCCCAGGAAAAAAATTATTTGATCAGCTGAGTTGCAGAGAAAATCTTTAAATTACTCCCGATTTTTTTTGAACCTTTAAAAACTTTTTTTTTTAAATCATATTTTTTTTTAAAATATCCTCAGTGTGCAAGAACCTTATTAAAATATACAGAAAATACAAAAAATAACAAAATTTTTAAAAAAAAAAAAAAAAAAAATAGGTACATTTTCTTTGATAAAAATGTGATACTAATATAAAAGACTTTTTTTTAAAAATTGTACGAAGAGTGATGTAAAATTTTTGGGTTTTTGGAAAAATGTTATAAGAAAAAATTTTTTAAATAAATGTTGAAATTCTGATGACATATTTAAGGGGGTACGAACCTAGTCAAGGCCCTCGTAAACAAATGCCAGTCTCAGTCAAATGGTGCTCCAGGTTTGTGGTCTCATCAGCTGGGGCCCAGTTTGTTTTCTCAGTCAGTGGTTTCTCCATTTTTTTTTCAGTCAATGGTGCCCAGTTATGTCTTCCCGTCAGCTGGTGCTCCAGTTTTGTGTTTTCAGTCAGTGGGGCTGGGGTTTTGCCCATCCCCCTGGTGGCAGTTTGTGTTCAGGCGCTGGTGCTCCAGTTTTGTGTTTTCGGTCCTGGGGTCCAGTTATGTTCATCAGCTTTGCTCCCCTTAGTGTCTCAGTCAGTGGTGCCCAGTTTTTGACTCAGTCCCGCTGGTGCTCCAGTTAGTGTCCATCCCGCTGGGGCTCCATTAGTGGGCCGTCAGCGGGGGCTGCATTAGTGTCCCCATCTGCGGGGGCTCCGTTAGTTCTCGGTCACTGGTGCTTCCCCCTTTTTTGTCTCAACAGTGGTGCTCCAGTTTAAATGTCTCAGTCAGCTGGTTTCCCAGTTTTGGGGTCTCATCAGCGGTGCTCCAGTTTTTCTCAGTCAGCTGGTGGGTCCAGTTAGTGTCTCCGTCCCGTGGTGCTCCCGCTAGTGTCCCCGGGCAACTGGTGCGCCCGTTTTGTGCTTTAGTTAGCTGGTTTCTGCAGTTAGGGGTCTCATAGGGTGGTGCTCCGTTAGTGTCCCCAGTCAGCGGGGTTTCATTTGTGTCTCAGTCCCGCTGGGGCGCTTAGGGGCTCAGTCACTGGGGCTCCCCGCTAGTGTCTCAGGCAGTGGTGCTCCACTAGGTCTCATCAGCTGGTCTCCCCGGTTTTGTGCTCAGTCACGGTGCCCAGTTTTTTGTCTCAGTCACTGGGGCGCAGTTATGTTTTCAACAGCTGGTGCTGCAGTTAGTGTTCCCAGTTTTTGTGGTGCTCCATTAGTTCTCAGTCAGCTGGTGTCCCGTTAGTGCTCAGTCAGCTTTTTGCTCCAGTTAGTGCTCAGGGCGCTGGTGATCCATTAGTGTCTCAGTCAGTGGGGCTCCAGTTAGTTGGGCTTTAGTCATGGTGTCCAACTAGTGTCCTCAGTCAGCTGGGCTCCACTAGTGTCTTTAGTCAGCTTGCTCCCGTTAGTGTCTCAGTCCCCGGTGGGGGGCCCCCGTTAGTGTCTCTTCCCGTGGGGGCTCCCCGTTAAATTTTCTCGCTGGTGCTCCCCTAGTGTCCCCAGCGTGGGCTCCAGGGCCCCCCTTTTTCCCCGGGGGGAGCGGGGCTCCCGTAGTGTCTCAGCCCTGGGGGCTCCAGTAGTGTCTCAGTCAGTGGGCTCCAGCTTGTGTTAAATCAGCTGGTGCTCCAGTTTTTTAAATGTCTCGTCAGGTTTGGGGCCCCCAGTTTTTTAAGTGTCTCAGTCAGTTGGTCCCAGTTTTTTTGGGTCTCAGCAGTTGGGGCCCGTTTTTGTTTTCGCCACTGTTCTTCCCGTTGTGTCTCGGTCAGGTGGTGCTCCAGTTAATTTTTCCGGTCATCTGGGTCCAGTTAGTGGGCTCGGGCACGGTGCTCCCCGTTAGTGTCTCGGTCACCCTTTTCTCCAGGTTTTGTGTCTCGGTCAGCTGGGGTTTCCCTTAGTGTTTCGGTAGCTGGTGCCCAGTTTTGGTTCGGTCACCGGGGGGTCCAGTTAGTTTTCTCGGGCAGCTGGTGCTCCAGTTAGTGTCTCGGTAGCTGGTGCTCCAGTTTTTGTCTCGGTCAGCTGGTGGGTCCCGTTTGTGTCCCCGGTCCCGCTGGGCCCCCAGTTAGTGTCTCGGTCACTGGTGCTCCAGTTGTGTCCGGTCAGCTTGGGCTCCAGTTTGTGTTTCGGCAGCTGGTGCTCCATTAGTGTCTCGGGCAGCTTGGTTTCTCCCCGTTTTTGTGTCTCGGCAGCTGGTGCTCCGTTAGTGTCCCCGGTCAGCTGGTGCTCCATTAGTGTCTCGCAGTGGTGCTCCCGTTTGGTCCCCGGTCAGCTGGGGGCTCCCTTAGTGTCTCGGTCAGCTGGTGCTCCCCCTTAGGTCTCGGGCAGGGTGGTGCTTCCCGTTATTGTTCCCCGGTCAATTGGGGCTCCCAAAAGTTGGGCTCGTCAGCTGGTGCTCCAGTTTTTTTTGGGTCTCGGTTTTGATGGTTCCCCTTTTGTGTCTCAGTTTAGATGGGGCTCCAGTTAATGTCTCGGCAGCTGGGGCTCCAGTTTTGTGTCTCGGTCAGTGGTGCTCCATTAGTGTCTCGGTCCCTGGTGCTCCGTTTGTGTTTGCGTTTAGTTGGGGCTCCAGTTTGTGTCCGGTCAGTGGTTTTTCCATTTTTTTGTTCCCCGGGAGATGGTGCTCCGTTAGTTTCTCGGGGCAGATGGTGCCCCCATTTTGTGTCTCGGGCAGATTGGGCTCCGGGGGTTTGTGTCTCGGTCAATGGTGCTCCCGTTAGTGTCCGGTAATGGTGTCCCCTTTTGTGTCTCGGGCATTGGTTCCCGTTGTGTCTCGGTCAGTTTTTGGTGTTTCCGTTAGTGTCTCATTCAGTTGGGGCTCTAGTTAGTGTCCAGTCAGATGGGGGCTCTAGTTATGTCTCAGTCCCGATGGTGCTTTTAAAATTTGTGTTACAGTCAGGGGTGGGGCCATAGCAATTTTACAGTCCCGTTTTCAGTACAGTCAGCTTATACATAAATTTTTGTTTCAGAGAGCTGGGCCAAGTTAATGTTAAATTCCCCCCTGGTTTAGGACACCATGAAAAAATCCACAAGATACCCTTTTGGGGGGAGAATAAAGTTCGGTTGTTCTGCGCCCGACCAAATGCACCGGACATACTACTATGGGGGGGTTTTGGGGATGGTGTGCACCAACCATGCACTGGCAGGCGTTTCTACTGCCCGGGTTTAACAAGACAAGAATCAGGTCATGAAGAAGAAAAATGTCAAAAATTGTACCCACCACGGCCCCGGCCGGCAACAAGCGGAGGGATTCGCGAAGAACCAGGGAAATTTAAAAGGTTTTTTTAAATATTTTAGTTTGTTTATACTGAGAGAAGTATGGTTTTGTCTCTTTTTTACAATGTATGTTACTTTTGTATGTATGTATTTATGTATGTTTTTTGTATGTATGTAGGTATGTATGTATATATAATAAAATATTTATTATTATATATTATATAAATTTTTATATATTATTATTTTTTATATATATATTTTATATATTATATATATTAAAATTTTTATAAAATATAATATATATATATATTTTAATATTTATATATTTAATATATATATATATAAAATATATTTATAATAAATTAATAATAACATATAATCATATACTACAAATAAACCTATACATACATAAAATATACCTATACAAAATATATAAAAAAAATACAAAAATTTTATATAATATACAATATATAAATATAATAATTTATACATTATATATATATATATTAATATAAAATAAAATTTTTATATCTATATATAAATATATATTTTTATATATATATAAATATATTTTTTAATATTATAATATATTATTATATATATAATTTTATAAATGAGTAAGGTTAAGAGGATAACAAAAAGATTAGGTGATGAAAGATTGGAAAATCAGATTGGGGGGAGGGGAGTATGGAGGAAAGGGAATGTATTCAGAATTGGGAAATGGACGGGGCAGCGGGTGGGTCTTTGAAAGAAAGAGGGGACTAAGAATTATCAGGGGAAAAGGGGGAGTGGGTTTCACTTAGGATCTGTGGAGACAAAGGGAAATTTGGCCTTGGAGGCAAAGGGGGAATGTATGAGAGGTTTTAGTTTTTCCAACACTTTATATGGGGTGAAGCCCTGGTGATGGGAAAGTTGCGGCAAAGGGGGAAGGCTGGAGGGGAGTGGAGATGTCATGTTTTGGGGCAATGTTTTGGTGTGAAATTAATTTTAAACAAGGGAAATTTATTTGTTTGGAATTAGGAGGAGGTGCGGGGTTACCAAAACCGTTGTCCAAGGGCCGGGAAAGGGGTTTTTGAGGTTTGGTTTTAAAATGTAGAGAGAATGGGGCGAAACAGAGTGACTTCAAGAAATGTTCCCGTCTTAGTGGAAGGGAAGGGAGGGTAGGGGTCCCGGGCCCAGGAAAAGGGGGGAGGGGGGGGTAAAAGGGGTTTTGTGTGCATGGGGGTTGGGCTTCCAGCAGGCAGGGGTGAGCGTGTTTGATTTGGAATGAAAGGGGAAAAAATGGTTTTTTTAAAACTTTACGTGCTGTTGGGGGGTGAGCAAGTAAATTTATGAAGGGGTTTAAAGGGAAAACCCCGGGAGGCCCGGGTTTAGTACTGGAGATTGGGGAAATACAGTGCCTGCAATCTGAAGGGGGGGTGGTTTTAAAGTTGCAGTTTAAAAACTGAGTGTAAAGCACCCTTCTGGAAGACAGTGATGGGGGTGAATGATGGGAAAGTTTTTTTTTTTTTTCGGGGCCCCCCCCTGCCTTGGTGGGAATCGGCCATGTGATAATAAAAAAAAAAATAATAAAATTTTATAAAATATAAATATATTATATATATAAATATATTAAAAAATATAAATATTTTATATATATAAAATATATATATTATATATATTATATATATAGTGTAATTTTTATATGTTTAAAATAAACTTTCTTTCTTTTAAAACCCCCGGCCGTATCCCCCCCGAGGCGGGTTTGGCCCAAAAAGGAAAAAAGAAAGTTTTTCCTTTTTTCATTTAGTAAATATACAAGAGAAGGGGTTTACTACCCCCTTTTCTCCCCGCATTTTTGTCGCCTCCCCGCAAACACTCATGGTTTCCGAGGAAGGGAAATTTGTTCCCCTTCCCCATGGAGGTAAGAGAAAAAAAACAAGAACAAAAAAATAAAAAGAAAACAGAAAAAAACCGAGAAGGGGTGTTTTTACATGTATATGCTTGGGACATTTTATGTGTATTGTACCCAAGGGGTAAGTAGAATAGCAAAAACGTACCTTTAGGGCCTTGCCCCTTTTTTATGAGACAGAAAAATGGATACCAGCAATCCTTTCCATGTAAAACCAAATTTCAGGCTTTCGTTTTACACTCATTTGGGCCCGGACGGTAGTCCCTCCCTGGGTGGTTGCGGGTCTCCCAAAACCCTATACCTACATTTTTATATATATTATATATATATTTTATTTTTATATATTTATTATATACAGTGGTCCCTCGTTTTTCGAAATTTAATCCTTTTCCGGGAGGAGTTTACAAAAACGAAATTTACAATTTGCGAATAAATTTTCCCCCTTTAAGAAAAAAATGAAAATACAATTAATCAGTTCCTGACACCCAGAAGATTTTTAAAAAACAAAAAAAATTTTTTAATAAATAAACATGTAGTACAACACAATACAAGGGGAAAAATAAAGGAAAACTTTAAAAGCTTTAACCCGCTTCCCTTTTTTGGGGAGAGGGATTCTTAGTGTAGGGGGGAGATAGAGGAGGAGAGAAAATTGGATTGTTTCCCATTTTGAGTTTGCATCGCTTTTGGGGCCGTGGGGACGTGCTGGCTGTAGCCCTTGATTGGGGTTGGCTTTTGCGCAGTGTTGACGTGTACCTGGCTCGTGAAGCCCTGTTTCCCCGCGCTCTCTAGAATTAAAGCAAAAACCCCCTTTCATCACAATTTTAAACCAAACGCTTAAGGAAAAATTTGGGGTTTTGGGGGAAATGGGAAATTCGGCGACCGACCGAGGAAAAAAAAAGAAGTTGTAGCGCCCTTTCCTGTTTTGGTCCTCAGGTCAAAAAGGGGGGAAATGGCAGTGGCGGGGACAGCGGGGAAAAAAAATTTGACGATCAAAAAAGATGAATGGAAAGGTGAAACGGGGAAAAAGGGAAAGAGACTCCCGGGGGGGAAAACCCTGTTGGGGGGAAAACTCCAATAAAATTTTAAGTTGCAAACCCGACAAAATGTGAGTCGATATGGGAACGAGACGACAAAAAGGCCCATTAAGGAAGGTAAAAAATATTGTTGTTGTTGGGGTTTAGCCAAGTTAGGTATATGGATAGGGCTTTTCTGCTTAAAGGGGAGGGAGTAGGAGACAAAAGATTTTGTTTTCCTGGGGCTGGGAGGGGAAGGATATTGTTGCCGTCTGGATGAAAATAGGGAAAGGTAAAGGGAAAGCAATCCTATTATCTGTCTCAGGCTGGAGGAAAACGATGTTGGAAAGACGTAGGAGTGAGGCCCTTATTAGCAGGAAAGGCCCGCAATAGAAAAAAAATTAGAAGTGGGGTGGGAACCCTCTCTATTTTGGTTATTTTGCCAAGGGGGGATTTTGGAAATGAATGGTTTTTCCGGGGAAAATTTGGGGGCAATTGCTGGCGGGGAACAAATATGTAAGGAAAATGCAGTAACTTTCGTGACCGGGGGACTTTTCGTGGCAAAAAATTGAATGTTTGCTAGGGATGGGGTTCACTTATCTAGGGGGTGGGGGGGGGGAGCACTGGCAACTGCAGTGGGGGGAGCAGTTGGGATTTTAAAAAATGGTAGTTAGTGGTAGGGGTTTTTTGGCGGGAAAGAGTAAAGTCCCAGTGTGTAATTTTACGAGTTTAGGGGAACTTTTAAAAATAAAAACGAGATAGAATATTAAAAAAGCCGGGGGCCCTTGGGTGAAAAGGGGGCGGGAATTTGGTTTGGGTTAAAAAAATGAAAGGGCCCGGAAGGGTAAAGAGAAAGGAGAGGTTTTCAATTTTTTATTATGCTAATTTGGGCCGTAGTGTAGGAATAAGATGGACGATTTGGGAAAATTAGTTGCTAGTTGGTGGGTAACATTGATGTATTTCCCTTAAATGAGAGGGGGGTTTAATTCAAAAAGTCGGGCCCATCCCTGGGGAAATTTGTCATTTCGGGTTTTTTTAAAATTGTTCCAAGAAGATAGAATATTGGGGGGGGGGGGGGGGGTGGCTTTTGAAAGTCCGAAAATCGCTTGAACTGTTGCTTTTAAAAACGGGTTTTAAAGGTTTTAAAGTAACACATACAGAGTCTGTTTGGTTTGAATTTTCAGGGGGGCAAAAAAAAACCCTGTTTTTTAGGAGTGATATCCCGCCCCCCAAATTTTTTAGTTTGGGACCCAAGGGGAAACCCTACTAGGGGAAAGGAAATTTTTTTAAAGGGGCCACAAGGCACGAAAAGGGTAGAAATTTCTGGGAAAAAACTTTAACTTTATCAGTTGATTGGAATTTTTGACTGGGAATTTGGGAATCATAGATTTCTTAGAAGTATTTCAGGATTGTTTTTTAAAAGCAGTTTGTGCCAGAACCTCAAGGGGAAA